TCTGCTGCTGACCCCTTCCTTTCTTTCCCGCTTGGCAGTAGCAGCACCTCATAGCTTTGCAGAATGGACAGTTTGATTTCTCCAAACCTCAGAGAGAACACAAACTCCGTGGAAGACAGGGTCTGCGTGTTCTTGAGCTCTTACTGTTATTATTTTTATTATAATAAATTGCTGTGAGTGGGAAGCTGGGGGTGGGGTACTCCCACGTCGAGGCAGGGCAGCTGTGGCGTGGGGAGAAGGAGACACACTTGATGACTGTGCCCTCCCCGGGCCCCCCGGGGTCTACATGGTGATTCTGGAGGGTCGGGTGCAGCAGCCGGGGCAGGAGTCACTGTCTCCAGCAGGCCTGCTGACATGCAGGTGTGTTTTACAGAGGCTGCTGCCTTCTGCCGGACTGAGGTCTGTCTGCTCGTGGCCAGGGACTGCGTCTGTTTTGTTGGCCCACGTACCCAGCGCGGTTTCCGCCATGTGGTATTCTTCTAGCCTGCAGTAAGTACAGGGTGGAGCAAAAGTAGACTTACAGTTGTTTGTATGGAAAATAATACAACGATTAATACATAAATAAGCTCTGTGTTTCATGTACTCACAACTGTGAACGTACTTCCCCCACTGTGTCTGTTGACTGGCTGAAGCTGAGGAATGGCAAATTGGTTTCATTTCCCACGTTCACGTTGGTCCCTTGAGAGTGGCTGCTGGGAGCTGTGTGTGGAGAGGGTTGCTGGGGCTCCGCCTGGGCCCAGCAGAAAGGAATGCTGGGATTGGGAGGTCTGGTACAGGTGTGTTTGGGATGTGTGAATTAGCCATTGCTGCATAACCAATTACCCCAGAACTTAGCATCTTCAAACAACAAACATTTGCTCACTTAGTTTGTGTGGGTCAGGCTCGGGCTCAGAGTCTCTCCCGAGGGGGCGGTGAGGCCGTCCGCCGGGGCTGCGGGGCTGCGCCACCTGGAGGCCTGCAGGGAGCCTCCCGAGTGCGCTCCTGGCGCGGCCGCTTGCTCCCCTGGGGCCAGTGATCTGAGAGACGTCGCGGTGACAGCGCCAGAAGTCGCACAGGACCCTTCCTCCACACGCGGTTTGTCAGGAGGGGCACCGAGCCCAGCTCACAGGCCAGCGGCGGGGAGCCGGCTCCACCTCGCACAAGTAGGAGTAGTTAAACACTTAGGAACATCCTCTAAAGCTGCCGCAGGGGGAACAAGAGTGTGTGTGCCACCCGTTTGCCCTCACTGGCAGTCAGGTGTGCCTGTAGGAAGTACAGGAACGACTTCCTGCCACCTGTTTTGGGCAGAGTATGGACCCCGGCCAGTGTTTTCTGCTCTTAAAAGCACCCCTAAACAACGCCCCCCCCCCCCCCAAAAAAAAACAGACTATAGAAAGCTAGAGAAACTTTTTTCCTGATTATTTTTCCTTTTCTTAGACAAGGGCATCGATATATTTGAATCATGGGCCGACAGTAATTAAAAAGCACATAACTAGTCATTTTAAAATGCAGTTGTTTTGCTTAATTGATTTTGCCGCCGGACCCAGAGGAAAACAAAAAGGACCGGGGGAGAGAGAGCCTCAGACGGGGAGACAGGTTGCTGCGAGCGGCTGGAGGCAGCCCAGGGCCCCGCTGGAATCTAATTGCTGCCCGCGCCGCAGTTTGTTTTTCTGCTAATGTTCCTCCGCCCGGAGGGCTGGGGGACCGGGCTCATTGGAGGGGGGTGCGGGGGGGGGGTGCCGTTTGTTTCAGCCACGTGGGGGGTGTAATTCTGCTTTCAGGACAGGGTCTGCTTTTCCTTACTATCTATCAGCTTGAAGTACTTCCGCTGAACACTTTGAATCAAGGTTCCATTTAGAGATACTTTATTCATATTTAATTACAGGCTGTAGCACCCATCTTTAATTACCTTTTTTATAAGCCAGCAAGGAACATCCACTAGCAATCAATTACGTGTGTGTGTGTGTGTGTGTGTGTGTAAGCACAAGAGGGCATGGGAGTGCGACTTGCTCCCTGATAGCGAGGGGAGGTGGTAGGCAGGCCGGGGTGGGGTTGGGTGGGGTACCCACCTGACAGGCTCCCTGTGCGGAGTGAGTGGTGCACCCTCATCTCCCATGCTTCTCTTTACTTCCTCTGGTCACGTTGGGAATTTGGACAAGTGTTCAGAGCTGGGCCTCGTTCAGGGTACTGAGTTGGCTCCGGCGCCTCCATTCCCTGGCGGGAGCAGGGAATTACGGGATGCCCCCCATCTCATCCCCTGGGGATGTGGCAGACCAGGCTTCATCTACCCTGGAGATTGGGATGCTTGTCTCGGCCCTTTCCTTTCTTCACCTCCCTTTGGCTGCTCTTGGCAGCTATTTTTGTCACACAGCCCTAGCGATGCCATGTCACTCTTTGGTTGCAGTGACTCTACAATGTCCCTGCAATGACACTGATTTGAAGACTGGTTGTGCTTCTCAGAGAATGAGCCAATATTCCCAGGGAGTGAGGTGAGATCACTCCCAAGGTCTTTTGCAGTGGGGAGACAGTCTGTTCTGTCTGGGAGGCGAGGGTCCTAGTCCAGAGCCTCGTGGCACTCCTGTAGGGACTAGCAGAGGGTTTCCAAAGGAACTTAATATTCATCTCATTATGTAATGGTCAGAACATTGCTAAGTAATACCTCCCTCAATTCCTGAATCCCTATCCCAGCAAGAGAGTGGAGAGAGGATGGCACTCATACTTACTGAGCCTCTTGGGGATTCCGGGCACCATGCCTGTGTTTCTTTAATTTATCCCAACTGGGGTGAGAACATACTGTATCAGTCAGAGCCCCTTCAATTGTGTGTGACAGAAAAGAATTCAAACTGCCTTAAGCAAAAAACAAAAACAAAGCCAAAAACAACAACAACAAAAAGGAATTATAGGGTGGGCATTCAGGTATGGCTAGACCAAGGGAGCTCAACCATTGTGATAAGGATTTACTCTCTGTCTCTTGGCTTTGCTTTCCTCTTTGTTTCTTCTATGTGACCCCTGGCATCTCTAGGCTTCAAGTTCAATTTTAGCAGAAAGAAAGAACCCCTTCTCCTATAGTTGAAACAAAAGGAAAACAATTGAGTCCGATTGGACCAACTGGGTCCTATGCCTGTCTCAGAACCAATCAGTGTGACCCAGGGTATTTAGGGTTCTGATTGGCTAGGTCTGGGTCTCACACCCACCCTGGGGCAACAGGCAGAATCCACCTGGGTAAACCCCACACATGACATGTGCTTTTAGATTTGAGGCCTTTGGATTAGCAGAGTGTCACAGCAGGAAGGTCTAGCCATTCAAAAGGAAGAAAGAGTTCATCCAGTTCTTCTCCAATGGACAGAATAATGGATTCATTCCTTCAACACATCTTTGTTATTGACTCATTCTAGCCCTGTTCTAGGTGCAGGAAATTCAAAGCAAACAAAATAGACAAAAGTCCCTGCCCACTGGGAGCTGATATTCTGATGACGTGTATGTGGATGGTGGCCTTTGTATTCTCTTAATCCAAGGTCCAGGATAAAAGGTCTTGTGCAGAGAGACCCAGGGCTTCGGGGTGGATGATGGGGGAAGAATATGGCTCTCAGGGGGCCTGAACTCATAAAGGGGGGAAAAAGATGGGTGAATAGTTGGGGAAGAAGGGATCAGTAGGCACCGGGAGGGATACAGACAAAAACCCAATGAGGAAGAAGGGGGACAAGGAAGCCAGTCCATACCCATCTTTCATGACAGTGAAGTGTAGGCCCCTCCCACGTTGCCTGGACCTTTGGCTTCTGCAGGATGTTGATAAATGGGATGGAGTTTAGTGAAAGCTGAAAAAAATGATGACAAGGCTGGAGGGAGTGATTTATGAGACAAGATTAGCAGAGTGACGGTGCAGCCTAGCAAATGGGGAGGGGATGGTGGCTGCGGGTCATGTGACTTTGGAAGTCCCCGGAGGGGAGAGGGCCTGAGGGGCTGGGTATCTGCTGCTGAAAGGGACAAAGGGAGGCGGGGGGGCACAGGCTGAAGAGGCCTTGGCCTGGGAGCTGGGGGATGTGTGAGGAGGAGGGGAGGCGTGTGCCTGCACACTTACCTCTGCACAGGTGTGTGCGAGGATGTCTGGGCTCTGCAGAGTCATGAGGCTATCCAGGGACTTCACGGAATGGAGAGGATGAGAATTTCAGCCTTGGTCAGTCTTGCAAAAAGCCTTTTGGGGGCCTCCTTCCCATCTGGTAGTATATTTATATCTGGACCATGTAGGTGTGAACACTCAAGCCAGAAAGACTTTTTCCTTCAGGAAAATCAGTATGACATTTCTGAGAGGGAAGGCAGAAAGGAAGAGAAGATGGGAGAATAAAAGCATGTGTTCCACTTCGTAGAGGAAGTGAGGCACAGAAGGAACAGGGGGTCCGCCCCAGGCTGCCTGTGGGTGGCATTGCAGGTGAGGACCGAGGACAAGGCTTGGACCTGCAGGCCCGGGACGGACTCTCTGCCAGGTGGCTGGGCTGAGGATGGGCTCAGGGACCCCTGTTGAGGCTGCTGCTCAGGCAGGAACAAGAGGTGGTTGTGGGGTCTGCAGCCTCCCACCAGGGTCCCTTGAGCTCACCAGGTTGGTGGGGTTGGAAATCTTCCATCCGACCCCTGTCTTAGGTTGCCCTGGGTTCTGTAAACTTTTGATTACATCCATATGGGAGAGCCTTGGGGACACAGTGGTGGGTAATTAAACGGGAGGATTAGGAGCCGTTCTAAACATTCTAGAGAGCACTTCTTTGGCCTTAAGTTGGAGGTGGTCAGAACACCTTTGCACATGTATGAGAACATACCCTCCACACCTGTTTTCTGACTCTCTCCATATGCCTGGTGTGACTCTCTGTGGCAGCAGAGGGCCCAGGCAAGGAGCTGGGCTGATATACAACTGACAGAGCAAAAAATCTGTTGTGGGGGCATTGGGTGGCACTGGCCCTGGCCCATCCTCCTGGCCCCTCTCGCTGAATTGAGTCCTCTTACTGGCTCCATCCTCTCTCCACTCTTGACAGATCCCTGATTTGTTCGTGAGCTTTGATGAAACCCCTCTGGGGGCTGCCTCCCTGGCACAGGTCCATAAGGCGGTGCTGCATGACGGTCGGACGGTAGCCGTGAAGGTCCAGCACCCAAAGGTACAGGCGCAGAGCTCAAAGGACATTCTCCTGATGGAGGTGAGGACCTGCCCCTTTCACCTGCATTTTCATTCTATATTTTCCTGCAGCCCAGGCAGCGCCAGTGAAACTGGTTCAAGGCTGATGGGTAGATGTATCCCTTTGAGTGGCAGAGTGGGAGAGAGGAGCTTGTGACAACGTTGAGACCACGAGACCCTATGTCTGGGTTGGTCAGTTCTTCTTGATCCGTTCCTGGGAACTGCACTGGATGGTCTCAGAACACAATGAGCACCACTGGGGCCAAGGGGACCTGGGGAGAATGTTGAGAAATGAGACAAACCAAAGGTGATTTCCTCAGGGTAGAAGAGTTACCTTGTAGTTTGTGAAATTATAACAAAAGAGAGCATGTGGTCAACCACGGGATATAAAAATGACAGGCAGATCACAAAGAAATATTTATGCAGATTTCATGTGTGCCTGTTTGATATGCTTTGAATGAACAAACGTGCGTGCGTAGAAATGGCCCTTGGAAAAGCTCTAGCGGAGACTGTGTCTCTGGACGTTGGATGTTTCGAGCTCTGTGCCCAGAGCAAGGGAGGGGGGCTGAGCCCGCTGTGGCTTGGGCGGTAGCCAGCACCCTCCATGAGAGGTCCGAGGTCCATTTAAGCTGCCAGCATGTCCGTTTCCTTCCTTTTCTCTTTGCCTTTCCTTTGCTCCCTTTCCTCGTGTTGAACTCTTAGCTTATTCTTTCAACTCTGCCTAAACTAAACACACTCACTGAGTGTCTCTTCTGCATTAGGTGAAGGAGCAACATCTGCATCCCCAGGGAATTCCTCATGTTGTGGAGCAGCAGGTCTCTATGCAGACAGCCGTAGTGTGGGGACAGGAGCCCCGTCCAGGGGGTGTCTAACGACCTGGGAACACTATGCCTGGACTGATGAGGGCATCGAGGGGGCTTCACTGGGGAGCCCATGAGACAGCCGGGCAGGGGAAGGACGGCCCAGCCTGTGCAAAGGCCCCCAGTCTTAGAGGAAGAGGTTGGAGAACTTTCACTGGTTCAGATGGTGTGAGCTGGAATGGTAGCAGGGGAGGTGCTGGGGAGGTAGTCAGGACAGAGCACGGAGGGCCTTGTATTCCAGGCTCAGACATGGAGAGTTTCATGGAATAAATATGTATTTACTACGGAACTGAGCTGATCTGATTTCCTCTTGTCGTCGGTGAGGATGTTATGATGAGATATGCATTAGAAATAAAAGTCTGTTGGCCACTCGGAGGGTGTATCTGAAGGAAGAAAGACGGTAGCTAGGGAGACTAATTGAGGGGATGCTACAGTACTCCGAGAGAGAAATAATGATGTGAACGAAAGCAGTGTAATGGGGGTGGAGGAAAGGGGTGGGTCCCAGGGGTAGCATCGTTTGGACTATATTACCAGCTTTACAGGGGGTGGGGCCAAATGCTGGTGTGAATGAGAAGGAGGAGACTAAAATAATCTGTGGGTTTCTGGTTTAAAAGTTTCGATTCCTTTAACCACATGTGTCAGTCTGAGCCCAGCTGGGAAGAAAGAAACTACTCGGGGTATTTCAGAGGGAATTTGAAAGAGAAAACAGGGCTCACAGGGCGGGGAACTGCTGGGAAACCCAGCGGGTTGCGAGACAATCCTCAACAGTTGGAAGCTACCCTCAAGGTGCAGGGGCAAAGAACAGGTGGATTCTGGAGCTCAGGAGCTGGGGCCCTGGCGGAAGTGGGGCTGATGGTGAGCTGGCCTGACGGGAGATGTCACAGGTGTCGCCTGGAGGTTGGCCACAGGTGCTGTTTGAGGTAGCAGGTTTCCACCTTTTCCTGTCCCCCGCTGTTACAGCCACGTGGCCCATTGGCCAAACCTAGTAGGCAGCCAGATGGCAAGAGAGCCTGGGAAATGTAGCTTTTTTTTAAATGAGAGTAATGGGGTTGGAATGGATTTCACTTTCAGAGCAAAGTGAAATGGTGATTGAGCAACAGTGTCGGGTGAGTGAGTGCTGTCGAGAGTTTTGGATTGGGAAAGTTCCGTCAGCCTGCAGATTTAGGGTTTATCAACAAGGGAACTCATGGGAGCTGAACCTGGGGGGGTAGCTGAGATCACGTAGAAAAGTTATGTAGAGTGAAAAAAAGAGGCAAGGAGAGAACTCGGAGGAGCGTCATCCTTTGGGGAATGTGCCTAGGAGGACAGAGCAGTGAGTGAACCTGGGCTTGAGCAGAGAGCACTGTTATCGAGGGCTGAGTCATGAACCACTCAGAACGTAGCAGCTTAAAACAACAGTCCTGTGTTTTGCTCATGAATCTGTGATCGGCAGGGCTTGGTAGAGACACTTGTCTCTGTTTTGTGTGGCACCGGCTGGGTAGCTTGACTGGACCTGGAGAATGCACGTTAGGGTGGCTTCCTCACGTGGCTGGCCAGTGGGTGCTGGCTGTTGGCTGGGAGCTCAGCTGGGGCTGTGGGCCATGGCCTCGGATCTTCTCCCTGTCAGCCGCTCTGTGGCCGCGTGGCCTTCCTCACAGCATGGTGGCCAGGTTCTCAGAGCGAGTGTCCTAAGAGAATGAGGCGGAAAGCACATCACAGGTTTATGGCCACGTCTCGGTGGTCATATAGGTCACTCCCTCCTTACTCCTTTGGAGAGAGCAGGAGTCACACAGGCCCCTTTGGTTAAACACCCTACTTCTTGGGGAGGGCGTGGCAAGGTTCTAGAAGAGCATTAGAATGGGAGATACTGTTGCAGCTGTTTTGGAAAGTACAATATGCCAGAACTACTCAATGTCATCAAAGGGGAGAGAAAGTGAGTAAAGTTCTTAAAAGGGCGTTTTGGATTTGTTTATTTAGATTTCTTGGGAAGAGCGAAGAGAGTGGGTGAGGCGGGTGAGGTAGGGCTGAGCCCCACGGAATGGAGACAGCTAACATGGAAGGCTCTTCAAGTCCATCCCTTTATTGTGAGGGCGCGTGAGGGTAGAAGTGAGAGCAGAGCACAGGGAGAGGCCAGGTAGCTGACGGGGGTGGCAGCAGCAGGGTGAGGGCACTGGAGGTTCTGGAGAGGACGGAACTGACAGACGTGGTCCAGGAGGAGACTCAAGGGACTGGACTGCAGGGACGCAGGTGGAAATGTCAGCCTTGGCCAGCCTTTGTTTCGAGACAGGAGGAAAGTGGTGAGGCCGGGTGAAGACAAGTGTGGGGGGCAGGGGGGACAGGGTGGGGATGTGGGCAGCTGTATTGTACCAGCCTGATGGCCTCTATTTTTTCCTTTGAAGTAGGAGGCAAGACCATCTGCTGAGAAAGAGGAGATATGAGGTGGCTTTGGAGGCTCTAGTGGGGGCGAAGGTTTGGAGCAGCTGCTGTGTGCATTGGAAAAGGGAGCAGGGTGGCTGAGTGGCCCTGGGAAGCCACCTGGAAACCTGCATTTTCTGGAGCACCTATCAGTGTTTATGGAATGGCCTTTGCTGAGAGTGACCCGGGGTCTCGGAGGATCCCTGGGTGTCTGTCCTGAGACCCAGCAGCCACTCCTGCATCAGGTGGGAACCTGTCTCTGGCCAGCAGTGCTGTGAGGACCCTCTTGGGCGGGAGGACAGCTGACACCCGTTTTCTCTGCTCAGAGCCTCGCTGGCTCCCTAAGTAATGGTGGCTGTAAGGTCAATGGCAATAATAGCAGTAATAAAGATTTGGCATCTTCTGGAGATAAGCATCGGATGCTTTGCTTGGGAAGTGCAGCCTAGTGGCTGTGTGCAGAATACAAAGTGGCTCCTTCACGGTGGCAGAGGCAGAGCTGGGGCTAGGAGCATGAGGCGGCTCAGGGACCTGCACTCACAGCCTTCAGGAGAGAAGCTGGAAGCAAGGCCTGAAGTCAGCACCTCCGTGGACCATCGGCATTAGCAGCGGCACCAGATGGCCCTGCCTTCTCTCTAAGCTGTGTCTCTGGAGGGAAAGATTCTACCTGGGTCACCGTGCTCTGCTGGAAAGCTAAGAAGAGCCTGACTGGAAGACTCACTTTATTTTATATTTGAAATGAGTATTTTTTTTTTCCTGAGTCCAGACCTAAAATGGTGCCTTGGTTTTTAGGAGTGACAACGCCAGAATGGTGCTCAGGGATGCTTGGCAGGAGAACAGTTTCTAAGGAGTATTTGGGCCACCTCAGCCACTGGAAACTTGCAGACGGGGGCTGGTGAGGCCAGTATTCTGCCTTTAGGTGCTTCCTCGCCCGTAGCTCCCAGGTGTTGTGTGCCCTCATCCTTATCTCCCACTGCCCACGACTTCATCTCTCCTCTCCAGCCCTGGGATTGATCACAGCGTGGTCCCGAGAGGAAGGCTCTCTGATCGAAGAAATTCAGACTAAGGAGAGAGTGGCTCATAGGCTTAACCTCTGGATATGTGCAGTTTGAAGAAGTGAGCTTGTAAATCCAAACACATATCTGCTGTAAGGTGTTACAGGAGTGAGGCTTTTGAGAGTGAGGAGGTGGCGACTACCGTTGTATCAGTTAGGGTGTTGTTGGCCACAGGTATCAGGGAATGCAGCTAAAAGTGGGGCAAATAATAGTAACCTATGTTATCTCACATTTCAAGACTTCTGGCAGTAGTGGCGACTTCTCCAGTGTTGATTAATCCAGCACTTCAACCCGCTTTTTAACAACCTCAGTTCCTTTTGTCTCCTGCTCTGCCATCCTGACGTGTCCTTCCTCTGAGGCTGTGCCCCTTGTGGTCCCACGACAGCTGCAGCCATTTCTGCTATCACGAGTGGATGACATCTAGATGCCAAAGAGGTCCTGTTTTTCCCCCATGCCCCTTATCAAAAAGGAGCCCCTCAGTAGCATTCCCTTCATTTTTCACTGGCCAGAAGTAGGACACATGCCCAAGCCTAAATCAGTCTCCGCCAGAGAGATGAGACTGCTCTGATTGGCCCGTTGGCCAATCATGATTCACCTCCTCAGGCTAAGGCCTGCCTTCCTTGAAGGACGTGAAAAACGTAACATATTTGAGGTTCTGTTAGCCAGGAAGGTGGGGGAAATGGCTTTTGTGTTGGCACTTAACAGCATGTGCCACC